CAAAGTGCAGAATGCATCCTTTACAGCAAGAGGAAGTCAAAACTTCTCGGAGAAAAGACTCCTCAGAGCGGGAAGGACCCTGTGTAAAGCAGGTGTTTTGGGGCCAGCACTGTGCGGTAGCAGGTAAGTCACTGCCCACAGTGCTGACATCCCATATGGGTTCCGCTTCAAGACTTAGCTGCTCCATTTACAATGCAGCTCTCTGCTGTGGCCTGGGAAAGCAGAAGAGGCTGGCCCAGGCGCTTGGGCCCCTGCACCCACGTGGGAGATCCAGAAGAAGCTTCTGAGTTCTGGCTTTGGATCGGACCAGCTCTGGTCACTGCAGCCATTTGGAGAGTGAACCAGCAGATGGAAGCCCTCTCTGCCTCTGTGTAACTCTGCCTTTCAAATAAATAAATAAAATGTATTTTTTGATTCTAGTACTGTAATATATCTACTTCTTAATTTTGTTAATAAAAATTATTAAAACTAGTTGTTAATAAAAACATTTAGATTGGCATTGTGTTAGAACCCAGTGGTTATACGATGAAGTTGTTATTAAAACTCATATAAATTCAAAGTGAAAAGTTCATACCAAGCTTTCTGCAAGTTTTGCTGTAATTCAAACCTCACCTGGAGTAATTTCAACAGAAAGCCTTGCTATTTTCTTAGCAATTATGAAAATGACAGCTAATACTTGTTATTTGATTCCTGGAGTCAGGGATTACACTCCATGTTTAACATGAATTATCTTTAGGACCCTCCTTTGCTATCTACATTATTATTCTCCTTTCAAGGACAAGAATAAGCTTTAGCAATATAAGTAACTTGCTCACCACATACAGGCGAAGTGGCAGAGGGAGCACATGGCTCTCACAGTGTCCGGGGAGCCAGAGCGTGACATTTCATCTGATGTGTACTGGGATGCTTTGAAGGACTTTCAACAGGGAGCTGCGGTAGTTCTCTATGAGACTGCACTGGGAGAAGGCTGGTGGAAGCAGCGGGGCACCCTGGAGACATGTTCACGATACAGAGGGACGTCCAGGGCAAGGCTGGTGGGGGCCTGGACAGCGGGGAAGTCCAGGGCAAGGCTGGTGGGGGCCTCGACAGCGGGGGAGTCCAGGGCAAGGCTGGTGGGGGCCTGGACAGTGGAGTGCCCTGGAGACACTCACTGAATATTTTGGTGGCCAAAATGATGAGACTGGGTGAAAGGACGTCTCCGAGGAGACCTCTCCAGCTGCAGCCCCTTCCGCTACCCCACTGGGTCACCACACTGCGGCCATGGGGCTCTCCCCTCTCCCAGCCTCCGGGGTGTTGCCTGGGCTGGTCGCTGTCTGTAGTGCTTCTGCTCTGGTCTGGTCTGATGCAGCGTCATTCCAACCAGTGCTAGAAGGCCCAGCTCACGTCTCACCCACAGACACGCCTTCTTCTATTCTCCAGTCTAAGTTTGGTCCCACCTTTAATTTTCTCTTAATGGATTCCAATTGCACTTTGTCCCCCACTTGTCAGTTTATTACATACTTATGTTTACTGACCAACACAGGATAGCCCAAGAGGCCGGAGTTTACTTTGCCCCCTGCTGTTAACAAGATGCCTGCCACACAGAGTTCCTGGTCCCAAGCATGCAGCCAGCACCTGTGAGGAAACACGCCCTCCATCTAAAAAGCATGCCCCGGCTTCTCTCACTACTGACTTGTAAAGAGATCTCTCCAGCCCTTCTGGATGATCAACACGATACGTCTCCCATAATCAGTGATGCTCCCATCTCCAACCCACTCCCCTCCTGGGTCTTCACGACAGAGAAAAGGTATGGTGGGGGTGAACTCACCGCAGGAGGCGGGGTCCAGGAAGGCGAACGCTCATCGCGGGCGGGCACACAGAGTGGTGCAATCCTCTGGGGAAACCATTCAGCAACACCTGCGGGAGGTCTTGAAATACAGGCAAATAATCAAGTACTCAAAGCTGTGTGCATTTGTACTGTCCAAAAAGATACAAAGCAAAATGTGTGTACTGATTAGGTAGGTACTTCCAGGGAGTATGTGACAAAATGAAGCATTTTTTTTTTTAATTTTAAGAAAAACTTCGAAGATTGTTAACTGACACATAAACACTGACATACTTATGGGTACCCGTGACGTTTTGATACATGTATACTTTGTGTAACGCGCGGTCAGAGAAACATCTACTTCCTCAAAACCTAACAGTTCTTTTACAGTACAAACATCGAAAGTCCTTTCTAGTTGTCTTTGGAGAAATGTACAATACATTATCATTATCTGTGGTCACTCTACTGTGCCACAGAACACGAGAACTCCCTACTGTCATCTAACTCTGAATGAGTACCGTCCATCTATCTTAAAAGACAGAACACTTTGTGAATCTGAGAGTGGTCCCTGCCCAGGGCCATCCTAGCGGTTTCTGGGCCACTCCAGTTTAGTACATGTGTTGCTCAAGCGAGCACTACAGTAACTTTCTATTTTTATTATTTTACATTGGGCAACCAGGATTTTCATAATGAAAATTTCATTAAAGATAAAAAATAAAAACCCTTCAGCTTTGATACAGTAATGCCATTTCCTGAAATCTATACTAATAAAATAATGATCCTCTATGCATAATATTAATCAGTGAGTTCCACATTATATTTAAAAATTGGGAATAATTTAAATGTCCAGCAACAGTTGGATAGCTAAATATAGCTTATTCAATGATGAATTACTTAATATACATACAATGATGTTTTGTGCAATATTTAAGGATATGAAAAATACTTATGTTATAATGTAATATAGACAAAGCAAAAGATCAACTTTTTATAGCACGCCCTCAATTTGTTGGAAAAGAAAAATGAATGAGAATACTATGTGGGTAGAAAGAAAACTACAATGGGGGCTGGAGCTGTGGCTCACTTGGTTAATCCTCTGCCTGTAGTGCCGGCATCCCATATGGGCAGCGGGTTCTAGTCCCGGTTGGGGTATCGGATTCTGTCCCGGTTGCTCCTCTTCCAGTCCAGCTCTCTTCCAGTACAGCCGGGAAGGCAGTGGAGGATGGCCCAAGTGCTTGGGCCCCTACACCTGCATGGAAGACCAGGAGGAAGCACCTGGCTCCTGGCTTCAGATCGGTGCAGTGTCGGCTGTAGCAGCCATTTGGGGAGTGAACCAACGGAAGGAAGACCTTTCTCTCAGTCTCTCACTCTCACTGTCTATAACTCTACTTGTCAAATAAAAAATAAAAAAAAAAAAAAAAGAAAGAAAGAGAGAAAACTACACTACACCCTACCAAAATGTCACTGACAGCCACTCCTGGATAACTGGACTCTGTAATTTCAGGTTCGCTCTTTATGATTTTTTGTATTTCCTACTCAAAAGTAACCACGATGTTTGTAATGGGAGAGGAATCACAAATTTTTGTAGTATGTATGAAATAATAAACTGGATCCTCATTCTAGTCAGCAACTCCACTTCTGTTCAATCCTCAGGTCAAGCACTCACAGAAGACAGGCAGGGATTTTGAAAAGTCAGTGGAATATAGAATTAAAAGGTAAGTTGATTTTGCCTCGAGAAAGTTTTGCAATCTGCAGTTTTTCATAACACACCTCCTCCATGAATACAGAGCCTCGGGGGCACAGTGCGAGGCCTGGGTCTGGCGCTGACCAACACACCATCACACAGTGCGTGGTGTTCACCTGCTGGGGGACAGCCAGCTCCAGCTCTCTCTAACCTCTCCACCCATCTTATTTCCAGGGAGATGCCACATTTTCTTTGACTGGTGTATTAGAATAATGTTAATGCTTAAGGAATAAAATTATCTTCACCTAAATATATTTTAGGAGTTATAAGACCTTTTACATGCCCTATGAGTCAATCTTTGTTGAGCCAGGTTAACAGAATACTACTTACGAAGTTTTTGTATAGATCCAAATATAAATGTATTTTGAGAAAATTTCATTTCTACCATCACATTTAACCCCGATAGTTAAGACGGGAATTCACTTGGTCTACATGGCTACAGTCAGGAAGACACAACAAAGTTAGCACTCGTGTGAGGCATATCTACACATGCAGGAGGGGGAATCTGAAAGGTCTGCCAAGACGTCTCCAGTGCCTCTGGGATCTTGGTCGTTACCTCTGGGGACTGGAAACACCACAATGAGGAAGAGATCCCACATGCTACACGAAGACACAAATCCCCGCACACGGCGAGCACGCCTCACAGCCACCCTACCGAGGGGAATGTGAACTTCCAGAACTGCCAGTCGGGGTGGGCACGTGGCCTAGAGGCTGAGACGCTACTGGGGATGCTGGCTTCTCCTACCGGCTCCCGAATCCACTTCCCGCTAACGCACACTCTCAGAGGCAGAAGCGATGTCTCAGATAACGAGGTTCCCGCGGTCCACGGGGGACTCAGTGGCGTTCCCAGACCCCAGCTTCTTCCTGGCCCACTTTTGACCTGGGACATTCAGGGAAAAGCCAGCAGGTGCGACTCTCTGCCTCGCTCTCTGCTTCTCAAATAAATAATCTGAATCCACCAATTATGACCAACTTCAGCATTTGTTATTGAAATACTCTGAACCCTCAATTCTCCCAAGCGACAACATTCAAAACCACATACAAACGAGTTTAGGTTCCATATATTGAACATTTAGACATTTAGAGCTGCATTTCCCAGAAATGTTATGGGAGAAACGTGCTTCAGTTGCGACGGCCTTGTTTGTTCAGAGCAGCACATTCCAGAAACTGAACCAGCCTTACTCCTGAGAAGACAATCATGCTGGAATCCTCTCGCTCTACAAAGGCTGCAAAGTCAGTATCTCACTCATACAAAGGTCAGCTGTTTTTTTTTTTCTGCAGGCTATCATGCTCATATTTACATATGAAAGTATCTCAGAATGTTAATGGAAGATATGCAGCATCTTTTAATTCCACTTCCCACAAATTGTTCAAAATATTCTCACACATTCACACATGCAGAGTATAACACATGCTATAAAATACATAAAATAAAAATATTGTAGGCTTCAGTTCAACTAATTCTTTGACATAAAAATTTTATTTACTGAAATCATTTAGCATATTTCTAGAAAAAGAATATAAAAGGAAACCAAATTGATGTCCATTTAGCATTCATTACAATTATTTTTATTCAGGATCTGAGTCTGTTTCCTACAGTACTAAGTGAATCATTACGAATCTGCAGACAGAGAAAAGCACACAAAACCGGAGCTACAATTAAATCATTAAACTCAGGGAAAAAATTAAAACAATGGAGACACACACTGGAAATGACTGATGTAATACCAGCAGTTCTATTATAAATTTCTTCCTTTGTCATTTCTCAAGCAAAATGCACTCATCACAGGCAAGGGAGGACGGCACGCTGGACTGACTCAGGTGTCCGCTTTCTGAGTTGCATTCCTATGACACTGTAGCTCTGCCTGCTGGGGTGCACTCTGTATCCCCGGATCTCCTTGACACATCAAGGTGTCAGCAGGTACGTAAAAAATAAACAGGCCAGCAATAAAGCAACAAGAGCAAAGCAACAACCAATATGATATTCATGTCTGCTTAATTAAAGCCAAGGTGTTCCTAACAACGGTCGCTGGCTCAGAACGCATGTGAGAGCCCCGTGCTCCTCCCCGCGCTCTCCCTGGACGGCTGTCTGTCTCAGCAGCGATAAAACTGCAAAAGGAAGGCTGCTGGATCCTCCAGAAGGCAGAACCTGGCAATCCAGTTTCAACGTGAAATAACGAGGGGCAGGCGTGCGATGGAGAAAGCAGGCGTCAGAAACGTCACATAAGGGAATCCAGCTGTGCTTGTATGGTCTCCAGCTATTTACAAAGACAAAAATAAAAATAAAAAGCAAGTTGGTGGAAGCAGAAAACTCTGTGAGTGCTGTGTGGAAACACACAGACAAATGGGGAAGAATGGCTCTGGTAACAATGCGTGTCCAGCTCACTCACAGAGGCAGAAGGATGGCTGCCTTTCGTGGGTACCAGAACTCACGCTTCGCTTCCAATGTAAGGCTTTACTTTTGTGAAGAAGGTCTCCTTTACAACTACCACTACCTGCTAAGATTTTAAAGTTGGGGTGTGGCGCGATTATGGAATCACTATTTAAAAATATACATATAGTCAAAGACAAATGTATGTTTGAATACCTACTTTTGAGTTATATGGATGTGTGTACATATCTGTATCCATATCATCTCTACCTGTATCTCTGTCTCTGTCTCTCTCTGTCTCTGTGTCTCTCTCTCTGTCTCTATCTCTATCTCTTTCTGTCTATCTATCTCTGTCTGTTTCTGTCTCTGTCTCTCTCTCTCTGTATCTCTCTCTGTCTCTATCTCTATATCTCTCTCTGTCTCTATCTCTATATCTCTCTCTGTCTCTATCTCTATATCTATATCTATCTCTCTTTGTCTCTCTCTCTCTCTCTCTCTCTGTCTCTATCTCTATATTTCTCTCTGTCTCTATCTCTATATCTATATCTATTTCTCTTTGTCTCTCTCTCTCTGTCAAAGCCTGGCGTCCTCCTCTCCCTGCTCCCTTTCAGCCCGGACCCAGAAGCTCGCGTGCTTCCGCTGACCTGCATGCTAACCATGCCTGCGGCTGGGTCACCCAGTGACGGCTCAGCGCTTCGCATCGGTCAGCAGTTCTACTGCTTTCGTTGAAGCCATTTCCATCTTCAGGTTCTCTTCCTGTCGGCTACGCTTCCTGCTGGGGACACGACGTATTTACGGGAGACCTTAAAGGGCTCAGCTCCATCATGGGGCATTTAAAAATAAGAACTCCAGAAAGAAAGGAAACATTACAAAACCTCCACATATCAGACAATTATTTTAAAAGCCTCTACCTTGTTGTAGAAATCAAACAGCTCTTCGTGACTGAATTCCACAAGAACTTTCTCTAGGCTCTGTAATGGAAAACAATGAAGAAAAAAGAATTTAGCTGTATATAAATTTCACCACACTTTCTGTCCAGCGAGGCTCAGAACGTGTCACAACATTATTCCCGGAGAGGTTTTAAAAAAACACTCCCCTGCCCTGCTCCACCTCTCCACTCACTCACGCTCCACTTCAGCAAAGCCTGCAGCCCTGCAGGGACCTGTTCCCCAGCCCGACTCCACAAAGACTCACGACACACACGCCAGCAAGCTAACAATTTCATTATCTACCTTTTCAAGGCAGAGATAAAGCATGAGGCCATGTTCCCTCTCTCTCAGCCGTCCACCAGACGTGCAGTAAACACCACTACACAGCCCGAAGGCAGCACGCCTGACTCGGCGCCCCACCGGCCGGCTCCTGAGCCCGAGCACTCCTCTCCCGGCTGGCGTCTCACGGACACTGCCACCATCTCCACTGCACAGACAGCAAAAGTTCACAACGGGCCTGGAAACAGCAGCTCGAAGCCAAGGCTTTCCCACTGTCCCCTCTCAGCTCACAGGTGTTTGGGACACCGTGACGGGGCTGTGGGCGCCAAGTAGCATAGGATGTGTACAACGGGGCGGTGACAGCAAACCAGAGCCAGCTGAACTCAGCTCCTCGTGCTTGTAGTTGGCTCTATAAACCGATGAAACAATCTAACCTCTTTGCTAAAGATTACCAACAGTGTTCATTTTATCCCAGGTCTCTCCGCAGAGGTAGACGTTAATGAGGAGAGAATGCCACGAATGTGCTACCCGCTCTGTCCCACAGCTGTGCTCACACGACTCACAGTGGACACCACGGACAGAAGCAGAGAATGGCTGTAAACAGGCACTGATCCGGGTTCTTCCTTGTCGTGGTCATTTCCAGCACACTATCAGCTCTAGCTCTCAGTTCCTATGTTCACTTCTGGTTTTATCTGTTTCAATGACGTCCATGTCCATGGGCAAAGCTGACATTTCTAACCATGCCCCTCCTCACTAAGCCCAGGCAGGCAGGCAGGACAATGTTGCACGTCCTTGTTCTCTCCCACATACTCATCTAAGTGCATCTGATGTAGCACCTCATCCTTTGGGCATGCTACAAAATTATGCAGTTTTAAAACTGAGTTAGAAAGATTAGTTGGCTAACCAGCACCGACCATTAAAGCCCTGTGGTTTAATCAGCGTCAACTGGCAGTGCTGTCCTGCCGGCGGTTCAAAGGGATCAAGGCCCAAGTTCACCCATAAGCTCTGAGAAGGTCAAGACAGGCTCGTTACTCTCATCCGCACAATAAAACGTGGGTAAGAAACAAAGCTTCCATCAGTATAAAAATGATTCACATGCTGCACTTCCCTACATGTAGCAGCCAACACAGGTTTCTGTTTCCTCCACTTTGCTTTGTTATCGCTCAGAAGAGAAGGAATACAACTCTGATGGCCTGATTCTTCCAAAATTAACAGCTAAGGTGACATTAGCAAGTTGATAGAGTAGGAAGCCATAGCTCCTCCTTTCCTCACAAAGTCCAAAATGAGGAGAGGAGGTGGACAGTAATCATCAGAACAAAGATAACTGAAGCACAGAATAGACAAACAATGGAGGAAAAATCAAAGAACTTAAGAACCGGTTTTTTGGGGGCTGGCACTGTGGTAGGGTAGGTTAAGCATCTATCTGCAGCACTGGCATCCCATATGTGCACCAGTTTGAGCCCCAGCTGCTCCACTTCCAATCTGGCCTCCTGCTGATGGCCTGGGAAAGCAGTGAAAGATGGCACTTGGACCCCAAGCACGTGGGGCCTCTGTACCATGCCGGGAAGCTGGGAAGAAGCTCCTGACTCCTGGCTTTGGATCTGCCCAGCTCCAACTGTTGCAGCCATTTGGGGAGGATGGAAGACCTTTCTCTCTGTTTCTCCCTCTCTCTTGTCTGTAACTCTGCCTCAAGTAAAATAAACCTTTTTATAAGAATTGGTTTTTTGAAAAGATTAACAAAATTGACAAGCTCTTAGCTATATTATCTAGGAAAAAAGGAAAGAAAACTCAGGCACCTATTATCAGAAATGAAGGAGGAACATTAGAACTAATACCACAGAGGGGAAAAACATTAAAAGAAAATACTATGAACAATCATTATGTCAACAAACTGGATAAGCCAGAATCAACAAGTCAGTTCCTAGAAACGTACAAACTACCAAGACTAAATCCTGAAAGGCAGAAAATCTGAGAAGACAAGCAATGAGGAGGGAGACTAAGTCAGTAACTGAAAACCTCCCAGCACCAGGTGCTTCACTGGAGAAACCTGCAAAACATGCAAAACACAGCAACACCAGTTCTCCGGATTCTTTGAAAAAGCTGAAGAGGGAACACTTCCCAAATCACTCTAGGAGCCAGCATTATCCTGCACCCACGCCAGACAGAGAACTTCGGACTGATATCCTGATATCGCTCATGGCGATGGTGACATCTGAATGAAGATTTATAAGTGGTGAGGGAATGAAAACACAATCCACAGAACAGGAGAACAGAATTACAAAGCATGTAACTGTTAAGAACATATTCCTGGCTGGCACCATGGCTCACTAGGCTAATCCTCCGCCTTGCGGCGCCGGCACACCGGGTTCTAGTCCTGGTTGGGGCGCCGCATTCTGTTCCGGTTGCCCCTCTTCCAGCTCTCTGCTGTGGCCAGGGAGTGCAGTGGAGGATGGCCCAAGTGCTTGGGCCCTGCACCCCATGGGAGACCAGGAGAAGCACCTGGCTCCTGCCATCAGATCAGCGCGGTGCGCCGGCCGCAGCGCGCCGGCCATTGGAGGGTGAGCCAACGGCAAAGGAAGACCTTTCTCTCTGTCTCTCTCTCACTGTCCGCTCTGCCTGTCAAAACAAAAAATATTCCTAAAATATATAAAGAGCTATAATTCAACAACAAAAGGACAAATGATCTAATTTAAAACAGGCAAACAAAAGACCTTGATTCAATGGAGATACTCCAATTGCAAATTAGCAAATGAAGATATGTTCAACATCAGCAGTCATTAGGGAAACGCAAACCAAGACCACGGTAAGGCGCCGGCGCTGCGGCACACCAGCTTAGAAGCACTGGCCTGCAACACCAGCATCCCATTTGGGTGCCGGTTGGAGTCCTGGCTGCTCCACTTCCGATCCAGCTCTCTGCTGTGGCCTGGGAAAGCAACAGAGGATGGCCCAAGTCCTTGGGCCCCTGCACCCACATGCGAGACCCGGAAGAAGCTCCTGGCTCCTGGCTTCAGATAGGCTCAGTTCCTGCAGTTGCAGCCATTTGGGGAGTGAACCAGCGGATAGAAGACCTCTCTCTCTCTCTCTCTCTCTACCTCTCTCTATCTTTCAAATAAATAACTCTATCTTTGAAATAAATAAAATAAATCTTAAAAAAACATACACACACACAATAAGCAGCACTTCACACTTTCTGGGAAGGGAAGAAAAACGATAGAAAACACACGAGTGCTGGCAAGGATGTAGAGAAAACGGAACCCTTGCACACTCCAAGTGGGGATGAAAAAGGGCAGAGCTGCCCCGGAAAACCACCTGGCAGCTCCTGAGAACTGAGACATTACTACTCAACTCAGCAGTTCCACTCCTAGGTATGTATGTGCTCAAAAGAACTGAAAACAGAGACTTGAATAGGTCCTGCACGAATGTTTATAGCAGTATTACTCACAATAGCCAAGAGCTGGAAACAGCCCAAGTGGCTATCAACAGATGAATGGATAAACAAAATGTGGTGCATATTCACAATCTAATATTATTCACCCATAAAATGGAAGCAGGTATGATACATGTTATAATACAGACGAATCCTGAAAACATTATGCTGAGTGAAATCAGCCAGACATAAAAGGACAAACATTGTTATGACTCCACTTGGATGCATCTTGGTATCTTGCAAGGCCAAGTCCACAGAGGCACAAAGTACAGCAGGTATCACCAGGGAGAGGAGGAGGGCGATGAGGAGTTACCACTTAATTAGTACAGAATTACGGAGTTCAGTACAGAAATTTCTTGGAATGATGCAAAGTTCTGAAAACAGTGGTGATGGAAACACAACATTGTGAATGTAATTAATGGCACCCAACTATAACTTTAAAAGGGTTAAAACTGTGAATTTTATGCTGTGTATATTTTGCTACAACAAGAAAAACACTGAAAAAAAAAAAAAAAACAGTGCAGCAGCAGCAACGAGGCAAAACTGGAACACAGCAAGGAGCAAGCACTCCGGGAGAGGCCACATGTCTGTGACACGGGTGCCCTGTCAGAGCCATGCTGACTCTTCTACTACAAGGCCCACACACCGAGCACTCACCTGCAGCTTCACCTGCTCATTCAGCCACTCACTGACTCACAAAGGCTTTCAGAGCCCTTATTTTGGGCCAGGCACTTCGTCAGGGTTCTGCGATACGGTGGTCCTGCCTTCGTGGCATTCAGAGTGTGGAGTCCAGAGTGCAAGTAGGGAAATAAGCTGTCAGAATGTAATTAAAACGCTCTTAAATGCAATGGGTGGGCAAAATACAAAGCAGGAGAATGTATTAAACTATGACTTGGAGAACTCTGACAGGTAAGTGGGGTGCACAGGGGAGGCAAGGGAAGAAGAGGATGGGAGAGGAAGGAAAGAGCTTGATGTTTTTTTAAATTTTTTAAAGATTTTATTTGACAGATAGAGTTAGTGAGAGATAGAGACAGAGAGAACGGTCTTCCTTTCATTGGTTCACCCCTCAAATGGCTGCTACGGCTGGCACTGTGCCGATCCGACACCAGGAGCCAGGTGCTTCCTCCTGGTCTCCCATGGGGTGCAGGGCCCAAGCACTTGGGCCATCCTCCACTGCACTCCCGGGCCACAGCAGAGAGCTGGCCTGGAAGAGGAGTAACCGGGAATAGAACCCAGTGCCCATATGGGATACCAGCGCCGCAGGTGGAGGATTAACCAAGTGAGCCACGGGGCCGGCCCCTTGATGTTTTTGATGGACAAGGAGAAGACCCCAGTA